CCCCCCCGCACACACACACAACTTGTATTTCCTTGCCGGTGTGTACTGCTTTGTCACCGTGGGGCTGACGCACGGATGGCCAGGAGGAACTGCAAGATTTTTCCCGCTCGTTGGATTGAGCTGTGGCCCTGCGGTTGTAGCACACACAAACACACACCCAGAGAAGTCCCTTCACACAAAGAAAGAAAGAAAGAAAGAAGGAAGGAAGGAAGACCCTGCAGAAACTTTTCTTGTTTTTCTCGGCGCCGTTTTCAGAAAGCTTTGAGGCTCAAATTCGCAGCAGTCATAGGAAGTAGGTGTGAGAAAAAGTCAGTGGATATTCAGCATTCCTTTATATATTTGATTTATATCTCACCTTTATTATATTTTTTAATCAAGGCAGTGGATTTCCTCCTCCCTCCTCCTATTTTCCATAGAACAACAATCCTATCAGGTAGGTTAGTCTCGAAAGAAAAGAAAAGAAAGAAAGAAAGAAAGAAAGAAAGAAAGAAAGAAAGAAAGAAAGAAAGAAAGAAAGAAAGAAAGAAAGAAAAAGAAACCACAAGACTGGGCTAAAGCCACCCAACTGGCTTTCATGCCTAAGACGGCACTAGAACTCACAATCTCCTGGTGATTGGCCCAAAGTTACCCAGCTGGGTTTTTGGCTAAGGCTGGGACTAGAACTCACAATCTTCTTGTTACTAGCCTGGTGCCTTAACCACCAAACCAAACTGCCATGTCTAACCAGACTTCATTTCAGATCCCCCAAATTTTCCAGTTTGGGGGTCTTAAAAAGGACTAGAACTAAGGTACAATCCAATAATTCCCAATCCGGATCTCAATTAGTTTTACAACAAATGAGGTATTCTGTTTAGTTTGTTGTTTTGGGGACACGGTGCAAAGCAAGTATTTTTCCCTCCCTACATTGTAGAATTTCTTTCTCTGTCTGTCTCTTTCTCTCTCTCTCTCTCTCTTTCTCTCTCTCTTTTTTTTGCCCTAGAAGGACTAGTTCAACTTTTCCTTCAGGATTTTTGTTGCTAGGAAGGAAAAGAAAAAAAAATATCTGAAGCCGCTCAAAAGAATACAAAATGAAGGCATATTTAAATGGTCTCTTTTCACCTCCAATAGGGGACACGGTGGCTCAGTGGCTAAGACGCTGAGCTTGTCGATCAGAAAGGTCGGCAGTTCGAAGGTTCGAATCCCCAGTGCCGCGTCATGGAATGAGCTCCCATTCCTTGTCCCAGCTTCTGCCAACCTAGAAGTTCGAAAGCATGTAAAAAAATGCAAGTAGAAAAATAGGGACCCCTTTGGTGGGAAGGGAACAGCGTTCCGTGCGCCTTCAGCGTTTCGTCTTGCCGGCCACACGACCACGGAGACGTCTCTGGACAGCGCTGGCTCTTCTTCGGCTTTGTGATGGAGATGAGCACCGTCTCCTAGAGCCGGGGACAACTAGCCCGGATGTGCCAGGCGAATCTTTACCTTTTCACTTCAAGCCTGGAAAAGTTGGAATTGTCATTCTGCAAGGAGGAGCAAGGTGGGAGCAGGGAGCCCTTCTCACAAGCTGAAATGTAATCTTACTAACTGGGATGCGGCCAGGGCTCTGCGGTTCACAGGAAGTTTGCCTAGTGGACTCCCTGGGCCTGAAAGGTTCTTTCCCTCATGTGTTTTTCATTAACGGACGAGCAGTAAGCCCCGCTCTGTACTTTCCTTACCTGCAAAGCATTTCCATCCTATTCCTTCTCATCAGAGGGTTAACTTTCCCTGTAGCAAAAGCACATTTTTGATGTGCCCGTAAAACGCTGGCCTTGTAAAACGCTTGTAAAAAGTGTTAATACCACTTTATTAACACCTTGGTAAAACCACAGCTGCTGCTACTACTGCATTCCAGTTATGACCACTGCAGTTTGCGGCAACCAAAAGTGTGAAGAATGGTCCATTGTAACATTGAACAGTCACTAAATGAACTGATATAAGTCGATGACTACCTGTAATATTAGATTTGCATTTAACATGCTGTGTCAAACCCATGAATTATGACATAGCTAATAAACCACAATTAAAGCACAGACACACACACACACACACACACACCCCTTGGTTTTCATGAGATGTGAATACACTTTAGTGAACTCCGTGGCTCATCATAATCAGTTCTGACTTTGAATGTTTTGCTAAGAGACCAGTCATAAATCAAGGACTACTTATATATTTCTCTCCAAAATACTTATTTTTTTAACTAAGGGTTGAAATGAGGGGTTTTTGGTGGTCTCTGAGCCTGGTTGTTTTCTTGCAGAGGTTTTATTACGAAAACTAGGTAACATCAGTGCTTGATGATGTTACCTAGTTGGGTAATGAAGCCCAACCAGTTTTGATTGCCATGATGTAAAAAAGATGTTGAGGCTCTAGAAAAAGTGCAGAGAAGAGCAACCAGGATGATGAGGGGACTGGAGACTAAAACATGTGAAGAAAGGTTGCAGGAACTGGGCCTGGCTGGTCTAGGGAAGAGAAGGACCAGGGGAGACCGGAGAGCAGTCTTCCAATCTCTCAGGGGCTGCCCCAAAGAAGAGGGAGTCAAGCTATTCTCCAAAGCCCCTGAAGGCAGGACAAGAAACAATGGGTGGAAACTAATCAAGGAGAGAAGCAACTTAGAACTAAGGAAAAAAATTCCTGACAGTGAGAACAGTTAATCAGTGAAAAAAAATGCAAGTTTTTAAGAAGGGATTGGACAGCCCTTTGTCTGAAATGGTCTAGGGCAGGGCCTCCCAAACCTGGCAACTTTTAAGACTTGTGGACTTCAACTCCCAGAATTCTCCAGCCAGCTCTGCTGGGAGTTGAAGTCTACAAGTCGTAAAGTTGCCAAGTTTGCAGATCCCCGGTCTAGGATTTCCTGCCTAAGTAGGGGGTTGGACTAGAACAGCGGCCGCCAACCGGTGGGCCGTGAGAACATTTTGGTGGGCTGCAGAGAAATCTCACCCACAGAGCATCCCCCCCCAAGCAATTAATCCAGGCTGCGCAGAAACACAAGGCTGCGTCGCTCACATGGCCCGCAGGAACCCTCCCCGCCCACTTACTCCTTACCTGGCAAACTTGTCTGCTAAGTTGCTATTTTCTCTTTTTCCGACCATCATCTCTTCTGCTGTGCTAGGAGATTTAGATTAGCCAGGAAGCAGAAAACGGATGGATTTCTTGCTTTCTAGCTAGTCTTTAGATCTTGAGCTCTGCTTTTAAGCAGAGCGAACCTCCCTTAGGACTGAAGGTTCTCTTATTCAGTGCAGACTCACCGCAAGCAAATTTTATGTGACAGACTGAGCTAGCCGATGGCAGATAGATAGATCACTGAATGATTCTGTGAGCAATTCAATCTGCCTGCCTGCTTTGCCTGATTTTGGGTAAAAGTTGCTCTTTTTTTAAATAAAAAAATGCAATATTTACATACATGGTGTGTTGTGAGTTAATTTTGTGAGTTTGCGTGCTAGCAAATTTGATGAGTTTGCTTGCAAGCAAATTTTATGTGACAGACTGAGCTAGCCGATGGCAGATAGATAAATCTCTGAATGATTCTGTGATTCTGTGAGCAACTCAAATCTGCCTGCCTGCTTTGCCTGATTTTGGGGAAAAGTTGCTCTTTTTTTAAATAAAAATGCAATATTTATAATAATATTTATAATAATATTTACATACAAGCCATGCCCAGCCAGTCACATGACCACCAAGCCACACCCACAAATTAGACCACGCCCACAGAACCGGCTAGTAGTCCCTGGGATCTAAAATTATGAGTTTGGTGGTCACTGAGGTCCAAAAGGTTGGCGACCCCTGGACTAGATGACCTCCAAGGTCCCTTCCAACTCTTATTCTATCTACAAAGAAAGCATCTGCAAGAAAACCACCAAGCTCAGAGATCACCAAGGATCCCTTCCTCCTCCTCCTCCTCCTCCTCCTCCTCCTCCTCCTCCTCCCAAACCTCACTCCTTTCTAGCACTGATGATGTTATCTAGTTAGGTCATGAAACATTTGCAAGAAAACCACCAAGCTCAGAGATCACCAAGGATCCCTTCCTCCTCCTCCTCCTCCTCCTCCTCCTCCTTGTGCCAAACCTCACTCCTTTCTAGCACTGATGATGCTATCTAGTTAGGTCATGAAACATTTGCAAGGAAAGCCACTCAGCTCAGAGAGCACCACGGTTCAACCCTGAGCTACCAATATTCTTCTTTATTGATACCATCTCAGTTCCCATAAGTCGCACGTGCAAGGAAAGGATAAGGAGAGCGATCCTTACGAGACAAGCAATTGGCTGAAGGAGCTTAAGCAGCAATGAATTGATGACTCTTCCTTGGAGAATTTGCAGCTTCCTTCCTCCCTTCAGGCGGGCGAACCAGCCTAGTTCCTCCCCTCTTAATTCCGTTTGGTCTAAAATTGCTGACCTTTCCTTTCAATCTGCCTCCTTAATTAAGGGTGATAGGGAGCCATTTCACCCCGCAAAGCAAAGCCCAGGGACTCGCGTTCATCCTTTCTCGGCTCATTAATTTTTTTTTCCTTCGGCTCCCTAAAAAAGAGACGCTTCCTTGCTTGGTTTATCAACCGAGGAAAAAATGCACTTCCTTGAAGTAGGGTAGGAGAAGCACGTAAGAGTTGCCTCATTTTGGAGAGGATGTGGGTGGTTCATTCAAGGAGAGAGACAATAACGGTTAAAAGAAATCGGCACCCTTTTTTTTTAAAAAAAAAAAAGTCGGTCTCTCGAGATAAACAGATGTCAGATCTGAGCGGAGCAATCTTGAAAAGTGCAAATGAGTTTTCCAAGGTAAGAAAGAGGAAAACTTACCCTTGGCTTTCGCAGGAAGGAGAATTGGGAAATAGCCCATGGCTGGTAAGTTGGATTTTTGGCTTTTTTAAATTGTGTCACTTCTTATTTCCTTTTTATTTTTACTTTCAAGATGTCGAAAGGTAGGATCGCTAGAGTCAGTCGTGAGTTCGTGTCCTATTTCTGTTCATCTCTTGAAATGTAGAAGGGCTGCCCAGCTATCTAGAATGAATTCATGATTCAACAAACACACCGTATTTCTAACTAGCGGGGTACCCGTGCTTCGTTACGAAACTCTGTGATCGGGCAAGTTTTTGGGGAGGAAAATAAGGGGGGGGAATTCTGCCTCTGCCTACCAGCCTCCATCGGTATTCATCTGGCTAGCGTCTTCTCAGTGTGTGAGGAAAGTTGAGGGCTGTTTGGAAACTGAAACAGTATTTGCTGTGCGAGCAAGAAGGAGACAGCAAGGAGCCTGGGTGTGGCTTAGCTCAACTGTTCTATACTCAAGCTGCTTGGTGCTGCTGTGAAACTGAAACTCCTCTGCTTGTGTTTTGCATTTGGAAGAGATTTCTTTTCAGGTGGGGAGGGGGAGTAGATCTCCTTAGCAGAATAATAATAATAGTAGTAGTAGTAGTAGTAGTAATAATAATAATAATAATAATAATAATAATAGTAGTAGTAGTAGTAATAATAGTAGTAATAGTAGTAATAATGGAAATACTCTAAATGTTCTGATGGTCATTTTGAAAAATCCTTTCTTAGTGAGCCCCTAGAAGCCAAGAGGAACATACGGGCCCAATTTCAAGTTCCTGGGCCTTATGGTTCTGGAGATTGTGTGATGACGCATGAGTGGTATTTCACTTTTAGAGAGAGAGATTACGCCGGTATGAACCTGTTGCACGTTGCACCGGCCCTGCAAGTCTTTCATATTAAACCTAATTGTGGTGTGATGTTGCACTCAGAAGCCTGACAGCCTACGAATAAAAGCTATTTTTCAGCCTATTCGTTCGGCTGGCTGGTGATGTTGAAAGACTCAGGGTTTTTCCTCCCTCGCCCTTGGAAATCCAGGGTCGAGAAGGCTTCCCGATCTGATCTTCGCCTTTGACTTTCCCACGGTCCCTTCTGGACGTTGCGGGGGAAAATGCGCCGCGTGGTTTTTGAGAGGATCCCTCTTTTCCATTAACTTCCACCACCGCTGTAACTTTAAATTGAAGCCTCTGCAGGCAAGGCAGGAAGTGCCTTTGGGTTTGACAGGTGGGTAGTAGCCCTTGGGACTTGTGAACAACCACAATAACAGCTAAACAACTTTCAGCTGCCTCGGCACATCCGTAGAAAGACCAACAGCTCGCTGGTTCGTGGTTTTGGGGGCAGGCTTGAGCCTTCCAAACCGTTTCTGAAAACTCCCTTGGCTGTGCAAAAGTGCAAACTTTGATGTCAGAACATGTTTGATTAAACGGTGCGCGCGCGTGATGTTGTGTCCACTTTTTTTTAGCAGCTTAAGCCAGGGCTCCCCAAACGTGGCCGCTTTTAAGACTTGTGGACTTCAACTCCCTGGATTCTCCAGCCGCATGAGTCACACGGTCGTTAAGTGAAGCTTTGCTGGCTGGAGAATTCTGGGAGTTGAAGTCCACAAGTCTTAAAAGTGGCCACGTTTGGAGACCTCTGATATAAGGTCTCCTCCTTGAGCAGGTGGATGGACTAGAAGACCTCCGAGGTCCCTTCCGGTCCTATTTTTTTTTTCATTGATTTGATTAAGGGAGAAATTTGCAACTGGGAGTTGAAGTCAGTAAGTCTTAAAAGTGGCCACGTTTGGAGACCTCTGGCTTAAGTAATTCAGGTCGTCCAATCAGAGCTGAGCGCAAAATTTCCGTTGCTAATCGAGACAGTCGTGAAGTAAGGTGTTTTTTTTTGGTCCCGTTTTTACAACCTTTCTTGCCACGGCGGTTCAGTGAATCGCTGCCATTGTTAAGCGAGGAACTCGGTTGTTAAATGAACCTGGCTTCCTTCCCTATGGAGTTTGGTGATCAGAAGGCCGCAAATGGGGATGGCGTGACCCCGGGACATAAATACGACTCGATTGCCAAGGTTGTCTGAATTTGGATCGTCTGACCACAAAGACGCCGCAGTGGTCATAAGTGTGAAAAACGGTCACAAGTCACTTTTTCAGTGCCCTTGGAACTTCGAAGAGTCACTATTTTAGCACATTTTTATCAATGGGCCCAAGGGGTACCTGGATCCTAGTTTTACTCCAAGCACCTTCATGCTGTCCTGTGCAGGCTGCAATCTCTAATCTCTGCGAGTCTGCTAAACAAAACTCCACACTGGCAACAGGAAGAGCATCCGGCCAGTAAACAATCTGGTAGATCCATTCAGTTGCCCAGACTCCACCTGCAAGGGATTATGGGGGTCATTAGATGATGATGATGATTGAAGGGGGGGGGGAAACCCCTTTCTTTGCAGCTGAGATTGGCAGAATGACGGGGACAGCGAGGACCTTAATCCAGTTCAGAATCCAAATGATTTTATTGTCATTCGGAGTTGGCTTTGCTTCACATGAGCAGTGACATCGAGAATTGGCTTTGTTTGAATTCTAAGAGCAACTCTGTTAATCCCACCTTTCTAATCGACCGTGAACCCAACTTGTTAATTCAACGGAAATGAATATTTCTGCTCCTCTTGTACAAGCAAGGAAGGAAAAAGGGGCAGAGAAGCTATAAAGGTTTGAAATAAGATGTAAAGAAACAGGGTTTATTTAGAGATAATGGGTAAAAATATAGCTAAAAAAGAGATTCTGCAAAAGTACATAAGATTGTATTATTGTATTTGTATTTGAAATAATGTTAGAAAATTGGAACATTATCTGATTATAAAATGGGATAAAATATTAAAAGGAACGTGTAAAGATTTGTGGTTTAAGATGTAAGATGTTTGAGATGTTTAAGATTTAAATGAATATTAATTTTAACCATAGAGTTTAATTGCTATGGATTATTGTTTTAGTTATATTATGAACTTATTATTTTTTCTTGTTTTAAAATATAGTACGTAGCTTTAGAACGTACTAAGCAGAATCTGAATGAAAATTATGTATTACTTGAAGTGTTAAATTTAGGGGAAAGATATAAAGGCGTCATATTTTGTGTTAATGAGAAAAGATAATAGATAGTTGAAACAGAACAGATATAAGTATATTGATTTAAACTGAGTACTAGAACTTTTTTATCATCATCGTTGGACTGCCTTCTTTGGCTAAACAAAAGGAACATGCTTATAATCTTGTATTTATTGGGCTGCTCCTTCTGAGGTTGATGGGTTGCTTCCAGTCATGAAATTGAAGTATGTCAGACCGCCAAATACTTTTGTCATCCGAGTCCATAACGGGAGGGGTTTGAGCAAGAAATAGTTCTTTGGGGGGAGGGGGTGTCCTTCTTGTACTGGCATTAATAATGTGAAAATCAGGTTGTTGGTGTTTCCTTGGGAGAGGTTGCAGTTCCGAAGAGGAGTTGCCAATGTCACTGGCTAGCAAATGGAATTCCAATCATATTTATTCATTTTCTTAATCCAGAAAAGTGCAAGTGAACAGGGCTGATGGATTTGGGGTCAAGAATAAACTTGGACCCTATCAAACTTACATTTGTCGGACACCTTGTCAGGAGTGAAAGAACCAATGCTCCCGTGAAGGTTCAATTTCGCTACTTTATTGCTAAAAGCCTGTGCGCAGGAATCTTCTCAACTCATGGTTAGCGCGGAGGTCTCCAAACTTGGCAACTTTAAGACTTGCATAGCTGGCTGGAGAATTCTGGAAGTTGAAGTCCACAAGTCTTAAAGTTGCTGTTGTGGTTTGCCAACAGCAGGTACGGACGGCTGAGGTCTCAGAGAGCAAGGTCTCAGATGAGGGGCCTGCGTGGGATGCCGGGATGGGGCCAGGACCCTCAGGGAGTGGACTGCTGCCTTCGGAGCGTGTGGAGGCTGGCAGCAGTGAGGAAGAGCACCCCGAGGAGCCTGTGCCCAGGTCACACGCGCGCAGGGCTGCTCGAAGGAAAGAGCAGCTGCAGTAGCACGGGCGACTCTCCCTCTCTCTCTCCCTCCCTCTCTCTCCCTCCCTCTCTCTCTCCCTCCTCTCCCTCTCCCTCTTTCCCCTCCCTCCCTCCCTCCTTCTCTCCCTCCCTCTCTCCCTCTCTCTCTCCCTCCCTTCCCCCTCCCTCTCTCTCCCTCTTTCCCCTCCCTCCCTCTCTCTCCCTCCCTCCCTCTCTC